CTCAAAATTCAAGTATTTCGTCAGAGAGATAATTAATACACATATCTGCTAAACCAAAAAGCCGATCGCAATTTGAATCATTTGCAATGAATACTCCATTGATTCACATCAATACAATACATTTAGGCTACTAGCTTCATCCATTTCGAAAACGATTTAAGGAAATATGCTACAGAATACAACATACAATATTAAACTAGACCTAGTTTTAGTCCCGGCTTTAGTCTCTAATTAATATTCGTGGAGCATGAGATTCCAAAACATTTGTACTGATGTACAGAATATACAACTTACTTTTTCTCAGTTAATTTCCAGCTTTCACCAAAATCATTAACGTCTTTAGCAATACTACCATCTGGTTTCTGGAAGTCATTGCGAGTATCACCATCTGCATTACCCATCAGACCGCAAAGTTTTCCGTTGTAAAAAGAGCCTGAGTATGATACATCTAATTCGTGCTTTCTCAGAGTCCAATTAAGAGTAAATGTCGTGTTTTTTGAAGTGAAGTGCAGTTCAATATTCTTCTCTTCTTCCTGAATTGTTATAACCTTTGCATCAGTCACCTGTCCACCTGTACGCCCCTGTGGGTTAAGTAATTGTTTAGCATTTTAATGAGGTCGTTCGTTTTAGTTCAAATTCTATTTGCAACAACATAATACTAACTACTTACTGTAGTAACATCTAGTCCATCTATAATTGCGTATTGATTTCCAACAGTTACGTTGATTGCGATAGTTCTTGTCTTGACGTTGTCCGGTGTACTGTCTTCTCTTGGTTCAAACTTGGTTGTGACTTCAAAATGGGGGTTTTCGGTGCAGTCCTTAAACAGATAGTACCAGCCTTCGCCCTGGAATGTATATGGACGTCCATCGAATGTCCTCATATGAGGTTCACCATTGACACCATCGCCTAATGAAAACAAATCCACACGTTATACATAATTGTTCTACTTATGTACATCAAACAAATGACTTGCACAAATCATTATCAGGATAACTGAATAAAATGTCCGTTCAACAAAAAATATCCCTCGCCTTTGCCAAATACAATTATGTGAAGAAAGATCAAAAACCATACTTACACTCGCAGATTGCATTGGCCCGTTTCAGCATACAATCAACGTCATTCCATAGACCATTTAATTTCCTGTCAAATAGAAGTTCGTTAAGCCATAACAAATAATCTTACAATCTTTCGCCTTTTTGCATGTTTTGTGTACATGGGAATGCTTTCGTCATCAAAGGATTGTGTGTTATGCAGTAAAACTATTTGTCTGTATTTTTCTTAACTAATACCACTCGTGTTTTAGTTAACAATTACTTACCAGATCTCTGTACAGTGCTCTACACCATTTTCATTGTTTGGCTCGTTTACATCCCAGTTCTCGAAAGTACCAGCAATGTGTAAGCCGCTTGAGTAATAAGTAAAAGTCCCATCGTGGCCAAGATCGGTTATACCAAGCCAATAAAAACCTAATAAAATAAAAAAGTAAAAAGGCAGGTAAATCAATTACTTTGACACAAATAGAAAATTACAAAGTTATAATTAATTTCCAGTGCTAGTACAGAGCTTTTAAATATACCTGCCACATATACGGTCATTATCTCGTTCATTTGAGTTAAACTTTTGGGTTCAGCGAGTTTACATGCCTTCTTAGTTTCACATGCATCTCTTGCTTCATACTAGGTCATTTGTCCTGTCACAACGTGATACGTGGTCAGGCCACCTACACAGCAAACAATAATAATTGTTAACACCATCCCTATATACCAAGTAAGTGATATCAGTTGGCATATAAAAGAAGTATATATTCGGCGTAGCTGCTGATACACAATGTAGATATTTTTATTGGTTAGATTTATGAATATTAATACAAATTGGTATAGTAACAGTGTTAATATTAAAAGCCATGTGAAATCGACATGTAGATAACGTAGTATACACACTAATATCGTTCAGAGTGATAGATGTATTATTGTATCTACAGATATTGAAGTTTTACATGAATACGTTCTAATTACAATTTTCTAAAATCGGTAATTTAGCAACTGTTAAAATGTTTCAATTGGAGCGAATGAAATTGTAGGATCGGAACACAACAACTTAAATTGAAGCATTGAAAACTTGTATTCTCAAAAACAACGGTACACATTTTTATGTTTTTTATTACTTTATTTTCATTACAGAAATTGTCGTAAACTGTTGATTGATAATTGGGGTTTCGCTAACAAAAATGAGTACTTACGCTTCTCAATCAATTCCTGGGAAAGCAAGGAAAAGAAAAGAACTAATTTTTTTTTGCAATTGAGACGATATGATATGGTATAATATGTATTTTTGATCAGAGCAGTTTTGTGTTATTTAGCGAGGAAAATATAATACGAATTGTGTGATTTTTGTATAAATGTCCCTGTTGGTTTTCAAGCGAAAGGGACTAAATTAAATTAAATTAAATTATATATGTTTAATCGTGCATCATAGACATTCAGTGCAGTCATGATACATGTATTACAAAACAATTGATAGTTTTGAAAATGTTCGAATTCAATTCCATTTTAAAATGCTGTTCCCCTTGTATGCCATTTAATTTTCAAGCGAATGTACGGGGAAATGATCTACGGATATTGGTGCTGTGATACAAAATTAAATGTAGAGTTATCGTCTGAACAAATCTACATGTATATTTGATGAAACAAATGATAAAATGTAACATGAACTTGTCTGATTTACACAATAATTTAATATCTTATCATTGCTTGACCACAAAACAATATTCTGAATTCTCAGAAACAGACCACTGGGCTGTCTAGCCGAGGGAGGTGGTATATATTTACATAAACTAAAATAACATTGATAAGTTGGCAATAGTAGACGATTAGTGAATATACATATTATGTGAAGCCGAGTGAACCTACCTCGTGCGGAGCTGCTAGAGCCACTCTAGTAACTGCAATAATCAATAATAGACGCAACATCGTGGCTGCCTTTCCTACAATATTCTTCAACAGGAAATGTTGTGCATAGACTTCAGACAACTCGTGCAACTGGTAGATTTGAATTGTTCGTTCGATTATAACGATTATTTTTTGCTGACGCGCATGTTTGTATAATCCCTCCATTTGGGAGCATTTCCATTGGACAATAATACAATTTTGCACACGCAATTAAATTATTCCGCGCATGCTCATTTTCATTATTTACCTGACGACTGGTGGTGATGGTTTAAACCGTACATAGCTGAAAATGTACAAAACATTTCCATAAGTAGCACACTACTGAGTAAAAAAGCATGGGTTACCAAACAACAGGGCAGGCAGGCAAGACTAAAAATTTACCAACCCTGTTTGTGTTTTCAATACTTTATTTATTTTCAATTGCCATATGTACATATACATCTTCAGTTTCAAAAACAGAAAATATCTGTTGAACCATGATTGAAACAAAAATGGCATCAACTTAATGTATTTAAACAATAATTTCTCTACAACTGTTATTAATTCTGTATGTTGGCCCATACATCCAGACAAAATCGTTTACAGACCCTGAATACTTAACTAGTGCATGGGCATTTCTGAGTAGCATGTCCAGGCTCTTGAAATAATTTTTCTGCACTTTTTTGACGCATTTCCCGCATCTTATATGTTCCGTTCCTGTTTATGATCACTCGACATCGTAAGTCCAGTCACTCCATCATGTCTCAGATTGGAACACTCAGTTTTTTTCGTATTTTTTTGTCGGATAGTGGTCCATATGTCAGTCTGCATACTTTTCAATACAATGCCTGCAGTATCGTTGACAGTATCATTGGTGACCATCCATTTGAATTCGGTTTTCCACGATGGAAGAATTGTCCGTATTATTTTAGTTTTGTCATACACCAAATTACATACCATCAGTTTTTAATATCTAGACACTGCCATTGTATGTTTTGATCTGTATTACATTATTTAAGGTTTTGAAGCTAAATTCAGAACCCACATAATTTCGAACCTCCCTGAATATCAAAAAGCTATAGACTTAAAATTATTTGAATTACTTGTTACTCGTACTTTTATGTCGACAATCAAATTCCTTTCACTTGCAGATACAAGTTCCTGATTATCAGCCCA